TTTTAACCTCGTTAGGTATTACTCACATATACACGGCTTTATACTCCCCGCAATCAAATGCTTCGGAGCGTGTTAACCGCTCAATTATTGCCGGAATTCGAAGCTATTTGAGTAAGGACCATACTTTGTGGGATCAGCATCTAAGCTTCATAAGCTGTTCTCTACGCAACACCATACACCAGGCTATTAAATGCTCCCCATACAAGGCTATGTTTGGATTAGAAATGATCACCCATGGTAGCTCGTATAAGCTTCTTAAAAATTTAGAAAGTCTAAACGAACCAGTTGTTAAACTTTGCCGAGAGGATGATTTGCAAGTAATGCGAGCAAAATTAAAAGAGCATATAGCTCATGCATATGAGTCCAATGCCAAGCAATATAATTTAAGAACCCGCCCAATATCTTATAATGTTGGCGACGAAGTTTTTCGCAGAAACTTCGCTCAGAGCTCACAAGAAAAGAAATTCAATGCCAAACTAGCTCCTATATATATTAAGGCGAAGGTTAAAGAGAAAATTGGTAGTCATTATTATATACTACAGGATCTAGATAGCAACAACACAGGTACATATCACGCAAAAGATATTCGGCCATAATTCATATCTCTCCTCATAATACTTTACCATAATATGGAAGCATTATGCGGTTTGTAATGACTGTTTTGGAAGGTGTCGTACATTTGAAAGTAGCTAATTTTTATTTTTTGAATTGATATTATTTTAACCGAAATCTATTGTAAGGGGTACTGTACACGCTAATCCTTAATTAAGATTACCGACAATCACAAGCAAATACCGCACACTCAACAAGCATATGCTCGCAGCAAATGTACTTGTCCGTAGGCTTCAATTTGGTACCGCTGACTTTCAACGTTCTTTTCTCTGTCAACCATCCAATAGTGAAGACTGAATCACTACTAAATTTAACAAACTAGACAGTTTGCAAAGGAAAGTTAAAAAAATAATAAAAAAAAAAAAGAAAAACTTAGTTTCTTTACCAAATTAAATAAAATCAAATTCCCCAAATATTTGTACAGGTAAAATATATTTTTTGTGAAAGTGTGCAAAATTTTGATAAAACAGTGAAATGTGTAATTTTTGGCCCATACAGAAATCTTAACCTCATAGTGATCAGCGACCCGCGTGTTATAGAATTTGAGCTATTTCCTTTATTTGGAAGTTCTACTGAGTAGAATAGCTTAAAATACTTCTAAATTGGTTGATTTGAAGAACACGGCGCTTTTTGGCGTGCTCTTTGGATTCATTTGCTTATTCCATGAGACGAGTCCAGGACACGTGGGTCCCAACGCTATCCACCGCCTAATTGTGTGACTTGCTTTCCACAGTGTCCAAGTCTAAAGAAACTCGAAGTACATGACAATTTGGGAAAACGAAATACTTAAACTCATAAAGCAATTTATACCATCGGAAGCGGTTTCAGGTGTCGCTACTCTGAATTAAAATATTATAATAATTCCAGAGCAAGTCCCAGAATTCCAAATTCCACAGGCACAAAATATTTTAAAGTGTGGAAAGAAGCGGCAACATTAGAATCCCCCAAATTGAGATGGTTTCAACCTGTTTTCATTCTACATACTGGTCATGCCAGCATTTCAACGAACTATCGCTAGCGACCTATTCTAACCTGTGACATAAATTCCGGACTTATATCACTCCAGACTACTTATAAAAATTTCATCAAGATCCATTCAATGTGGTATTTATATAAAATGCATTAGATTCCATACTATTCATATTACTAAATATTTTAAATACTATAATTTAATCCCTTCCTTAATATTTCTAAAGTGTACATAATAATTAAGTAATAAGCGGTCATAGGCATTGCAAAGCAACATCTTACTGAACTTCATCATCTATTAGCGTCAGCAGCAGACGAGGCCTCATCTAGCAGCGGCAGCAATTTCATGTAAGTGGTGAGTTTGTCCATTCATATAACGTATTGCTTTGCATTGTTGTTTTTTTTATTCTTTCATTCTATCATAGTAAGTTGAAATTTGATACAATATAACTATGAATGAATGAATGTTTATGATCATTATGTCGATCTTATTGTAAACTCGTTTGCGCATTCTTTCAATAATTTTGTTATACATTCATAGTTTCTCATTTAACATAAGTGAATACGCTACTCTGAATTGATAGGTATACTCCATATTTGACATTAGTTTATATCAAATAGACAATTCATTGATGAATTATGTATTTATCTGCAATTATTCTTTAAGTTAATGAACTTTAATATTCCCCTTGTAAAATGTTTTGTCGAGAAAAGATTTATGGAAATATAATTTGAATTTAAAAATGAATATGTAAGTCTGTACCTTAGTTCTTACCGGGTGTGAACAACTAATAACTGGGTGTAGCGTAACAGGGACTTCAGCAAGAAATCTAAATTGCATGACTGAAGTCATTGGTTGGGAGGGTGAAGAGCAAGGTCTCCGCAACATCAGGAGATGTTAATAGAATGATGATTGATAATTTGTGTTTCTACAGGTTTATTTGATCTCCCGGGGTATTTCAACTGTCACCAGAAAGGTAGGGGATCAATTTGTTTCATTTTATAATTTATTTTGATTTGTTCTGAGTTTTCTTCAATAGTAAAATTGTTTTGAGGGAGTCTCTAAATTTATTTGTGTATGACCATTTGTATTATATTAGAGTTTGGGAGAACACGAACCCCCCAAGCCGACTAAGCTAGCATATTAATGACTCCCGTTGGTTCGCCCTACTCTGATTATTGTCTGTTTGGACATTAAACGTTAATTCCAGTAAATGGTTCATTACATTGTTTGAGCCCGAAAACAAAGAACATAGCAAAATAGGTGATTCTTTCAAAATAAATTACATATATAGTTTTTGACTTGTACATTTTCTATTAAATGCAGGCTCTTGATTTGTAAGCATTTAAATAGTTTACATTAGTTCCATGACAGAAGAATATAGGTAGATGCATCAACGCTTGGGAGCATTGATATGTCAAAAAAATTTAAATGTTTTTTCCAAATATAAGTGGATTTTTATATGTTTTCTTGTACTACGTCTTTCGGAGGCTATTATAATTCAACAATTTTTACAAATTTAAATAATTTTTCATTCAACATTTTCAATTCAAAAATTGGTTTGACAGTTCATTGTCCCAGCAGCTGTGTCGACGCGTCTACCTATATTCTTCTACCATGATTAGTTCTGTGAATAATATAAATAGCTTCTCTAAATCTCATTCCTTTGTTCATTCACTGAACACATATATTTCGCAGACTGGGATAGAATTCGACACCCCTGGTGAACATACAGCTGTGTATTGAGCATAATAATTGTTGATGTCATGATCCAAGTATAAGGTCCCCCTTCCAGCTCAGCTGATTACCGGACGATCTGCCAATTAAATTTGAATTCGCTGCAACAAAAACAAACTTCAAAACGATGGTAGAAGAATACAGGTAGTCGCACTGCATAGCTGCTGTGGCAATGAACTTTATGATACCCTACACCACTTTGCTAATTTAGTTGAGCCCCACTTAATAATTAAAAGTTTTTATGGGAGAATTCAATCATACACGCTATGATTATAAATATAATTTAAAATTCAAAGGACTAAATATGCCGAAGCATTTGTATCGTTTAAATTCGGACTTGTATTGCCCATTTGGCGCAAAATTAATTTGAAAACAGATAAAGATATATATCTGAACTATATCCAAATCTGAACCGATCTCGATAAAATTTGGCAAAGATATTTCTGAGCTGTATTTGATATATTTCCCTGAATATCGTTGTTACGGAGTGCATATTATGGCTGTAGGTAACAAATATAACAAATCGGATGAACAATATATATGGGAGCTATAGCTGTTCGGTCGTATGTGCCAAATTCCATCCCATTTGGGCAAATATTAGACGTTTGGTGCACGATAAAAGGTAAATCGGATGAAGTTATATATGGGAGCTATATCCAAATCTAAACCGATCTCGATAAAATTTAGCAAAGGTATTTCTGAGCTGCATTTGATATATTTCCCCAAATATTGTTGTTACAGAGTGCATATTACGGCTGCGGAGGACAAAAATAAAAAATCGGATGAACAATATATATGGGAACTATAGCTATATCTGAACCGATTTCGATCAAATTTGGCATACTTTTTTTTCAGGCCTAATTTGGTTGTATGTTCAAAATTCCATACTATTCAGGCTGATATTACACGTTTGGTGCACAATAAAATGCAAATCGGACGATGATATATATGGGAGCTATATCTAATTTTTTACCGATTATCTCAATCAATAGGGTTCGTCGTGGGGCCAAACAAATGTTTTTTGCAAAATTTCATCACAATCGGATAATAAATGCGACCTGCATTTTGTTCACAAGAATACATGGACAGATGGACGGACGGACAGACGGACTGACATGCATAAATCAACTCAGAAAGTGATTCTATGCAGATCATCAAAAGGAACTATGGGTCTATCTCGTTTCCTTTTGCCTGATACAAAGAAATTCACAAAGACATAATACCCTGACCACCTTGTGGTGTAGGGTATAAAAGTTATTCAAAAAACCAACTTCAGTATTTTCTTCATTTATGTCTTGACTTTGGTGAAGCAGCACATACATAAGCTGAGCGCTGAGCGCAAGAAGAGAAACGAAAACAAAACATAATCATAAATCTTTCTTCTTCTTCCTCTAAAATTATATCAATTCCAAGTAGCGCAAGAGCATCCGAGTTCATGTTGGCGCTTCAAAAATACTTTGTAAATGAAAAGTTCGTACTACAGTTGTATGAAAAGTTGGTACGTGCGAGGAGACCGACCAACTTTTTCATACAACTTAAAAGTGACAAGTTGGGCCAATTGTTGGTGTGTCTGAGGGCAGCTTTATAATTGGGACATGGTTGATGTGTTTCTGTACAGAGTACATAAAAAGCACAGGGCGGCGTCGCCGATTGGCTTATACCTGATTATTCATCGCCGACGAAAAAATCGGTCGTTGTATATAAGCAAAGAAAGTTTGTACCAAGGTAGATCTACCTTGGTTTTGTGCTAAAGTTTTTTAAAGTTTTTCTACTCGGGGCCCTGTTATTGTTATTAAATAGAATTAATTCATAAAAAATACATATATTATAGAAAAAGGTTTGTGGATTGATAATTGCAGAACTGCTTTGAACGTTTTGTAAGCAGATGTTGGATGTTGTAACAAACCAAATTGTACAATGTAGTGACTTTGCATGAACTGCGATCATACACCCATAAAAATAACAACGATTAAATATGAACCTTAAACCCTCGTAGTTTGCCTTCTGCTGTTTTATCAGTAGAACTCAAAGACCCCTAGAATCGATAATCTAATCGTATTAGATGTATATTTAGAATAATAAGACATTTGAATATTTGTTTCCATCAGTTTTGTAGTTAACCATGGCGTCTGTCCAAGAAAAGTTCCAAGCAGCTGTGAATGTTATAAAAAACTTGCCAAAAAATGGGCCTTATCAGCCTAGTACAATGATGATGCTTAAATTTTATGGTCTCTTTAAACAGGTAAGTAATTTGAACGTAAATATCTTCCTTTCTGATATACTAAACCAAAAAAAAAAATAACGACTTAATAGGCAACGGAAGGACCATGCTCATCGAAGAGACCAGCTTTTTGGGATGTAGTTGGGAAAGCTAAATACGATGCTTGGAATTCAAATAGGCATTTAACAAAAGAACAAGCTATGCAGAAATATGTGGAAGGATTACAAGAAATTATTGAAACCATGTCATTCACCGAAAATGTTCAAAATTTTGTTGGCAGTTTACAAGGTTTGGAGAATATAAATCTGGATGAGTTAGAAATTATAGCACCTGGTATGAAAAAACTTGCTGAATCACATCCTAGTTCACCGTTTAACTCACGAACAAACAGTCCACAACACGGGGCCAGCAGTAACATCATAGTTGACGAAGAGGTAATTGGATTCATTGCATTTTGTTTTGTTTATATAATGCAAGTTTTTTATAGCCACTTACAAATGGACACGACTCTTCAGCGGAAGATGTTGAATTGGAAAATCCAACAACAGTTCTACCCAATGAAACACAAACAAATGTCCCAGAAACGTACAATATATATTCACAAACCAATGGAAATGTTGATCAGTCCGACGATGAAGAATATGTGGATCCGTTTGATATACAACACGAATTGAATGAATCATTACAACAGAATAACCATATTTTAAAACAGGTACAAGATACGGTGACGAGAATGAATCTAGATATTTCATCTGTTAATCAACGTATCTTCGATTTGGAGAAAACCGTACGAGATCTCAAATTGGCACTTTCCAAAAACACTCTGAGTACGACGTCTAAGGGCACATTGGAACGCAAACAGAAATATCCCAATTGGTGGCCGCTGGAAGGCATTTCACCACTGTGGTTTATTTTGCTTATACTGTGGCCGTTTATTGCCAGGAGATTGGGCAAGATGTTGACAAAGCCCCAACGAAATTAAATAAATAGAATAGGCAATTTTTTGTTAAGGTTTCTAGTGGTGTTGAATATACATGTAAGTTCTAAACATTTAAATGCTTCAATTTGTGTTTCTGCTTCCAAGGTCAGACGAGGATGTGCTATTTGGATATTTTGACGTATATACAAATGTTTTAAATAGAAAACACAACATTGTTCCGTGCAATTTATTTAATGTACCTTTTAAGTTTTTTTTTTATCGGTATTTGTTTTATTTGGTTAAGCTGAAAATTTGTTCATTCCACAATACAAAAAATTTGTACAAAAATAGAAACAATTATATTTTTTGTTATAAACCTGCGCAAAATGCGCCAAAATTGTAAACAGAATTTTAAAATTTTGTCTTTTTTTACTTTACTTTTTTATGAAAAATATACAAAATACAATCAAAACATTGGAATGTTAAGTATTTTATTTTAGGGTTGTGCCGTTTCCCGTATATACTTCTTGCCCGAAGGAACATCTCGTGTGGTGTAACCATTAGGAAATTTATCCAAAGCTTCCTGGTCGGAAATTGTTGGTAAAATCATACATGTTTCACCTTGCTGAAAAAAGTGCATAAGAAGCAGTGTTAAATAAATCAATACTGCTAATACTGTTGAATCCGAAAGGATTCTTTAAACAAAATTTAGTATGCAATATTTACCTTCCAATCAGCTGGAGTGGCAACAGACTTGGTTGACGTCAAAATTAAAGAGTCAATTACTCTCAGTATTTCACTAGAATTAAATGGAGAGGTGATAAAAGCTATTTCACATTATTGACAAAATAGGTGTATTATACTCAAAATTTCTGCCGGTAGTCGCTGGATACAAAATAGACAAGCGCAGTTTCTTATTATTGTCAACTATAAAGACAGCGCGACATGTTAGAGGTATCCCATCCTTGTTCAACTCATCTTTATCCAGCATGTTCAATTTGGTTGCCAACTCCCGCTTGTCATCCGCAATAATGGGGTAATCGAACGATGAAAGGCCTAATATAAGTAGATTTAATGAGTTTTTTTTTTGTATCTGCACTGCTTAAAAAACTTACTTCCATATGCTTTTATATCCTCAATCCATCCTCTGTGCGAGTCGACAGTATCAACAGACAAAGCAATTGGTTTAACATTGCGTTTCTTAAATTCCGGTAACAATTGTGCAACACGTGCCAATTCTGTTGTGCAAACCGGAGTATAATCAGCAGGATGAGAAAATAAGATTGCCCATCTAGATGTAAAAAAATAGTGTCTTTTTTTTAATTTAAGCTTATAAAAATGTTAATTATATTATTTAAGCGATACTTTGGGACACCACAGTTTTTAGGTAATATATATTCCACTCAATTAATAATCTTATACAAAAATCTGTCAACTTACGACTCTTCCATCCATTCATAAAAATCGATTTTGCCTTGGCTAGTTTCAGCCTGGAAGTTGGGAAATTGGTCACCAATGTTCAAAGCCATTTCCAAGTTGTAGATGTCTGTCGCTTAGCTTCAATGATTTATTGATATATTCATTATATTCATTCAATGGAACTATGATGTATTTTATTTTTATATTATATTAATAGGTCTGTACGGTAATTTTTTGTTAAGCATTGCTAAGTTTTTTAGAGATATTGCAAAAATCAAAAACAATTGTTGAAATTTGTTAAATAATCGAAATTTTAAAGATTTTGTTAACATTTTTCATACTATCGTTGAAAAAATATAATAATATAATAAAGTAATATTTTGTCCTTGTAGATATTTTAGAGAATTTATTTTTTTCTTTTGGTATGAATCCATCATTTTGAGAAACTACTCTATCATGATATAATCAAGAAGGTAAAGTCATTTCAAATATGCGTACCCATCTCTGCATTTTCTGTAATCTACATTGTCACATTTTACTACATAAAAACAGGTTCCGCTATCTGACTTGTGTATGTGCAATGGATTTATAAATAAAAATTTTAATAATGAGATGTTGTCAAATTAATAATATTTGAAAAAATTGTAAACATACGATTGCATGACTTTACCTCCTTGATCTACCGTATACTTTATCAAGACAATAGTGTCTATGAAAAAGTCTGGTTTCAGTGTTAATATAAAATGTTTTTGTTATTTCTTACTGAAAATCGTCTGTTTACATATATTGACATATTTTATTTGGGTGAACATTCTCTCTGCTAGACGATAAACAGTATATTTTATTGGGAACTTAATTAGACACAGCCAGTAAACGTTTTGTGAATACCTTGGCATCTCTGTTTGACTCTTATCATCAGCCAAGGTAGATGTATTAGGTAATCGCATCAGCCCAGCTGACGGCACCATTTAATGTCAAAACAAATTGTTGTAATGAAGAATTCGCCCTAAATGAATGCAACAACAAATTTGTTTATGTTGTCTTCCCTAAAAAAATTCAAATAATTTAAGAGCAAGTTTAGAGTGAAACCAGTAAAAAAATTAAAAGAAAATGATGGAAGGAGGTTAGAATATAATGCAGCTTTAAGAATTAAGTTAGCCTCAACATCAAAGATTCCCAAAGAACATCACGGGAAGTAGTGCAAGAATTCGACTCTTGTCATTCGCAGTTCCGGAAAACTTTCGGTTTAAACCAGTAAAATATAGTCATTATAAGTTTCTTGGTTTAAAAAATATCGCAATACTACAATTAATACTTATTTTACTTTTATTTGTTTTACAATAAAAACTTATATTGCGACGTTCGTTTACGACGAGAGGCACACAAAATAAAATGTAAACAAACACCTCGTTTCTGATTGGTTGAAACAAATTTGCCGCAACCTTTAAATGTCATGGCGAATCTATGTTTTTCGCCTTAGATGCCAATTTTGACATTTGAGGGGACCACAAAAGTTGCTTTGTTGTAGCAATTCGCCGATGCGGTTACCTGTTAGATCTACCTTGTCATCAGCTGTGAAGCCTGCCTAGTTGACATTACAACAACACAAAAAAACTACACATTCAATCAAATTCAGTAACATTTTGTTTCATTTGGCGGTGAGTGTGCACTTTGATCTTTAGATTCTTGTAGTTCTAGTTAATTAATTTATTGAATATCATACCGTTTGTGATGTAAATAGAAAGCAAACCGGTCTGTAGCATTTATTGATGACGTTTCACTTTCATTTTCTGTCGAGATCTCTTAAGTTACAGCCAATATTTATTTATTTATTGATGCTGTCGTAGTAGTAATGGGAGATTTTATAGATAACTCTAATTTGCCTCTAGGACATAGAATATTTGTGCCAGTGTTATTTTTAATTATAACCAATAAATATGAATTGATGCAGTTTACGCATGTAGTCAATACTTTTTTTCAAATTTGAGTTGACGAAATGATTAACAAGCAGCGGTTATCTGATTATAGCAAGCCCTATGGATTGGAACTTATTTCGTCCAAAGTTCATTGACTCTATATGTTTTCGTTTCTTAACAGGCCTATCATTTGTTCTTAATTTATACGCAAAATGTCGGATTCTACCTCAGAGAAAAAAGCTAACCCCGCCAAATCCTTTTTGAGCGGCGGCTTTGGTGGTATTTGTACCGTTATTTCCGGCCATCCTTTGGATACTATTAAGGTAAGTATTTTTGGCGTTTGGTCTTGAAGTGAATTTTAAATGCCTTTTTGATATATTTTGAAGGTACGCTTACAAACTATGCCTCGCACTGGCCCCGGCGAAGCACCATTGTATAAGGGTACATTTGATTGTGCCGCCAAAACAATTAAAAATGAAGGATTTTTGGGTTTATATAAAGGAATGTCAGCCCCGATAGTGGGAGTTGCACCCATTTTTGCCCTTTGCTTTGCCGGCTATGCACTAGGAAAGCGAGTCCAACAGACTGAAGGAAACACCAAACTAAATTATCGACAAATATTTGTGGCCGGTTCATTTTCCGGTTTACTTTCTACTATTATTACTGCTCCAGGAGAGCGTATTAAATGCTTGTTGCAAATTCAGCAAGCCTCAGGGGCAGAGCGTAAATACAACGGAATGCTTGACTGTGCTGGAAAGCTCTACAAGGAAGGTGGTATACGCTCCATTTACAAGGGCAGTTGTGCGACTTTGTTAAGAGGTAAGATAAAGTTTATTTTTTTTACAAAACAAACATACATATATAAAACATCCATCGAAATGTCATTCGAATCAAAATTTGTACAAATTGGACTTTAAAGAAAACACGTAGTTAGGCATGCAACACGTGCGACATCCTAAACAACTCGAGTCATCTGGGGAGGCTGTAGGCACGAGCCAACAAAATTTGAGTTACCAGAATATTTTTTTAGACATTGATCTCCGCTGACGCCCTTTATTCCTTATATCAACTAAATCTTTAGAATAATTATTATTGGTACTGTAACTTCTGTGTGATCATTCATTTACAACAAATTATCAAACAAAATTTCTTAAAGTTCATTTCATATATTTGAAAGTATGTTCATGGTGTCATTTCCTTGCCAGTGTTTATGGCTATCATCAACTGAAAAGTGCGAATTCATTGTAAATATTCAATTAATTTAGTTCGTTATTTGATGACGGCTTTATTGTGTTTTTGTACATTACTTTTTATATTTAATAACAGTTTAACTTACATTCAATATTTTAGTTTCTAACCTATGTAGTATTCACGCTAAAATCAATTGCATTTCATTTACATTTCGATACATAAATATGTAAAACAATCACAAGTGTGACTCATATATCATTTGGTACCTCCTCGTAATCGTGGACAACAGAAAATTTCGACATTTGAATAGTTTCTTTTGGTTCCTTTTTCAACTGGTGTTCCAGCGAATTTTCTCGTAGATTTCTTAAAGACGTTCGAATTTTTTCTTGTTTCTGTAATTGCCACATCATGCGATTTATTAGTGGGCTACTTTTATCTTCCATAGGCGCTTCATTGCTTCGTTTATTGTTAAATGCATGTCCTCTTTCTTCAAATTTACGCCAATGAGGCATTCTATTGTTTTGCGATGTAGGTTTCTTCAATTGAATATATTTGGCTCCGCATTGTAATTGCTTTCGCAGAACATAGTAAACACTGCGGCCATTAAAATTATCGCACCGCGGAGCCAGTTGTTTGTTGAATTTATATGTATTAAATTTACGACATGATAGTTTTTTGCCAGAAAAGAAGTCATTGATACATCTTTCAGTTTGTGGCGCTATCTCCTGGTTAGTGATTTTAGCTTTCCAGCTATTCATATCACAAGAACATTTCCAAGGATTCTCCGACAAACGTGCCACCACTAGGCGTTTTAGCTGAAAGAAGTTTCGGGGCAGTGTTCTTAGCTGATTGTTGTTTAAATATATTTCCTCAAGGTTGGTTTGATCGTCGAATAGACCCGGAGGTATGTAACTGATGTTGTTATGAGAGAGATTTACCAAACGTAAACGTTTACAGCCGACAAAAGCATCCATAGATATATCATTGATTTGACAATTGGATAAATCAAGTTCTTCCAATTGAGTAATTCCGGAGAATGCATCGAATTCCAATGTGTTAACATCACCTCGTAATTTGAGTTTTTGTAAAGATATCAAATCCTAAAAAAGCGGAAATATTACAACAAAATTAGATTATCTCCGACTGTAAGTTTACCTTGAATATATTTTGCTCCAAATTATTAATAGAAACATTGTTTATCTCCAGAATGTTGAGTTGAGTAAGCTTTTTGAAGGGCTGGTTGCCCCATAGTTCTAGGGGTGTTTCATCAGAACCAAAATACATTTCTCTTGTATTATTCATGACCCAAAATGTGGCTGGAAATATGTAGCGTATGGGATTATTGCGAAAATCGACTTTTCGTAATTTCGGCAATGGTGGAAAACTTAGTTCTGTTAGTTTACTTAAGCGGTTATCGCTTATATCCAATGCATGTAATTCAAATAAGCCGGCTAAATTCCGATAATGTAAGTCATGTATACCATTGTGGGCAAGTGATAAGGTTCGCAGTTGTGTGGCGCCCGATAAGGCAAATGGTGGCACCACTTGTATGTCGTTGTGTTCTAAAGACAGATGTTGTAGTTCGTCTAAACCCATAAACATTTCCCAAGATAATTCATTCATGCCACACGATTGTATGCGCAAAACCTCTAAGCGTTCCCATCCATAGAATGACGGCATTTTTGCCTTTTTAACTTCTTCTATGTACACTTCATACGGCACGATTTCCAGTTCCTCTTGTTCTTGCTGTTGGAGTTCGACAAGTAATTTACGATCGTAATGCTTGGTATTGTAGTCCTTCTCGTTGAATTCCATGCTGTTTAACAACTCAATGTTGGGCTTGTAATTAAATACCTCCTTGGGGTGTTTGACATCCGTTGGTCTTTTGACGATCTCTGAGCCCATCAGCGATATTGATTCGAAATTGGCGTGCTTCAGAAATCGCAATGGTGCGTCTAAAACCAAACGTAAGCCACGATCTTGTGATCCTCTTACTTCCAGTGTTGTTAACTGATTCAAAGGCTTTAAAATGCTTGTGTTCACTAAAAATGAAAGAAAGCAATTTACAGACATTTGTAAAATAATTCTTACCGCTAGAGGATGTATTTACCCGTCTTATTTCTCCCTATGCCAGTATATAGCAAAACCAAAGCTTGCATGTCATGAGGCAGAGCATTTATTAGATTCTCTGCATTCGTGTCTTCTTGCATTATGCAAGTAGCTTGTTTGATGAAAGGATTTATTGTGTAACTCAAGTCATTCTCAAAGGACGATTCATTGTTATTGATTAGATCTTCAGTGTTGTCAACGTTGTTATTCGAATTTAAATATCTTTGTTGCATGTGGTTTATCCAACGTGATATGGGCAAATCCATTAAGTGTGCGTACTGACACACACAGCCCTGGGGACATTTAAGCGTGTCAACTTCTATTGTTGGCGTTAAATCAGATTTTATTTCCGCTTCCGGTTTGTTGTAAAACAAATCCATGCCGTCATCGTAGCTGTCATTAAGATTAACCTCTTGCCGATATTTTAGATTTTCATCGTCTTCATTGAGCTGTGGTGAGGCGTATTTGTGGGATTTGTAATTGGAATATGTATCATAATGATATTTTCCATAGCCATCATCATGATTAAACGTTTGAGAAGAAGTTTCCTATTTGAAAAATAAACGTTTTTACTTCAAAAGTGAACTTTTTTGAACACACAGTTATGTTATTTAGTTAAATAGATATATTTTTTTTAACATTTTTCCACATTTAATCCAATTTTTTATTTTCGGGTACTCACAATAAACAAAATCACATTTAAAATTATTAACACCTTCATTTTTTTGCTCTGATTTCGGAGGATTTTATCAACGAATAATTTAATTTAATTTTTTTTAAAGGGCATATTCGAGTTGAGTTTAAAACTGAAATATTTATCGCATGTTCTTTTACCGCCTGTCAGTTCGTACTTTTCAATTGAATTCGTCTTATTGTGGTGCGTTGAAAAGTCGATATACAACTAAATATGTTTTTGTACAATAACATATTAATTCTGTGTAAAATTAAAACAAAACAACAAAACTGAATCTCACTATAGAGCCGACTTCATCACAAGATTAAAAATATTGTATTCTTGGGTGGTGGTGTATATGAAGGAAGTCACGACGTAAAGGATGTTGTTATCAGTTGTTGTTTGATGAATACAGTAGTGTGTGTTGTTATTTTGTATGTATAAAACATTTGCATACACTTACAAGCCCAGTTTCTGTGTGTCAAAATGCCATGTACTTGATTTCTTTTTTTGTGTGTGATAAATTAATAGTATGAAGTAATTCCATTTTATTTATACAACAATGCAGAAATACTATGCTAAAGATTAAATTATTTTGGGGTTAAACGTCAAGAATTGGCATTAGTTGTAGGCATGTGAGTGAGGTATTTGGCAACATATAATATGTCACAAGCAAAAAATAAGTATTTCTGCAGAACTTGTTAAGTGTACCGAAGTAACCATAAAATCAGTATTAACTGACAGTCGTAATCGATTCAGTATTCTAAATAATATTTTGAATTATTTTTGAACAAAGTTACAAAAATCAAGTTTTAAATTTTCTGATGTTTCTATCCATTTTCCGGTTCTGCTCTCTGTTGTTATTGCAAAAAAAAAAAAAAAAAAAACACTGAATAGTTAAATTTTACTCAACCAGTAATCTAAATTTTTTGGGTTTATTGTATTGTCGTATGTATAAGATAATGCTTGTCTTCCATCCCAAACCAGCCAAAGATGTTCAAAAGATTAGACATAGTTTATTTTTTAGAAAAAAAATAAATGTTATTCTCCTATAGCAACGTAATGTCGCATAATTTTTAAAATTCTTTGCAATAAACACAAACATACTATGTTTAACACTTTAGTTTTATATTTTTCGTAACGTGCGGACGAAAAAGAAATAGCCCCAAATGCTTCAAATCAAATCTCTAACGAGACATTGAAATGACATTCATAAAACTTCATTTGCATCATACATTCCATGAAGGATTGAAACAATTAAGCAGACGAATAAATATATGTTTTCATAATTTTCGTAGATTTACCCGCCAACGGAGTTTATTTCTTGGCCTATGAGGCCATACAAAATTATTCTAAAAAACAATCTGGTAGCGACCAAGTATCTCTAGCAGTAACCTTATTTGCCGGTGGCTCAGCTGGTATTGGCTACTGGCTAGTTGGCATGCCAGCTGATGTATTAAAGAGTCGTTTGCAAACTGGTAAGAAAACAAATCTAATATTACAATGCGTAACATTTTGAATATTTGCGCCTCCTAAAATTACAGCACCTGAGGGCACCTATAAAAATGGTATTCGTAGCGTATTTAAGGAATTGATGGTTAAGGATGGTCCACTTGCCCTATACCGTGGCATTACACCAATTATGATTCGTGCCTTCCCCGCAAATGCTGCCTGCTTCTTTGGCATTGAATTAGCGAATAAGTTCTTTGATAAATTCTTCCCTAATTTTTAGTTTCGCCTTTTGCAAAATACTGCTATATTTGTTATTCAATATAGTGTTTGAGATTATATTCTTATAGGAATGTCGATAATAGATACCTTTGCGAGTTCTTGAAGAACATATTTTTAAAATTGTTAATAGAAGCAAAATAAAAGCAATATGAATTATACAGTTATTTTGTTTTTTTTCTTCTAAGCAGAGCTTTCTTTATTAAAAATATTCACTTCAAACAATGATTCAATGAATTTTATTTGAAGTAAATATTTCAAAATTATTTATATCGTAGACAGTTTAACACGGTAATTGAAGGCATGCATTTTTATTATTTTTAATATATTTAACAAAATGTTCTTAATATTACCAATTTGAAATACAACAGCATAATTTTCATAATTAAGTTACAGCAAAATTGTTTACAAAATTAAATAATTGACAATATGTTAAAATTTATAGTGTGTTGTTTCAACAAGGATATTTGATAAATATATGCTACAATTGATACAGTACAAATATTTTTTATTTATTTTTAAATTATCAATGTTTTTCTAGTGGCATTTACAAGAAACTTTTAAAGGTGTCGGTTTTTTTTTGTTTTACAAATAACAAATTCATAAGGTGTTCGGATCCTTTATTATATTTTAACAATTTAGCTGCCACAAAAACATTTTTACAAAAAATGGCACTGTGGCCTTACAAATTAATTATGTGTTTTTAAATGTATGAAATAGTTTTAATTTAAAAATATTATTTAAGTTATAAGATTATTATATCGTAGATAGGCACAGAGCGTATGTAGTTAAGAACTAAATTAAAGTAAATTTGAAATAGTAAATATTAATAAGTTAGGCAATTTTTCTATCGTGAGAATCGAAATTGAAAACTTGTTTCATGTTTTCAGTTTTAGAGATACTGTATGGTGATAACAGCATAGGCAAAACATTCAGAGCTTTGAGTTCTGGCAGACGTATGTTAAGCTATAGAATAAAGAAACATATTATTAGATAAAGACATATTCCAGTAAATTCTATTAGGTTTTGCTTAAAAAAGAAAAAGAACTCACCAAATCATCCTTTGATTTTTCATTGCTATTATTGTTCGTCCATATTGGGTCAATCCAAAATGGCATGTTCTACATGAAAGTTGATATTTGCAAAATTAGTGTTAAATAATACATTTATTTGGGTCTCATTTACCTCTGATGGCGGTGTATCTGGTTTAGGAGGCTCGTACAAAATTGGACACATTTGTATGTTGTTTACTAACTCGTATAGACCTGCAGAGGCTTCAGCCGTTACAGGTCCGATAGAACTTTGATTCGGTATAGTTAAAGTCTGAGTTGGTTGTGGAGGTGGCATTATCAGTGGCGTCAAAACAGTTCCAGTTAAATTAGTGCTATTCAAAAGCGGCTGCTGTTGCTGCGGATAATAATTATTTCCATGACGGCGATCCCATAGCTTGGAAGTAGGATAAACAGAGGGTACCGGAGCATTTAAATGCATAGAATTTGCAATGTGCAAAGGTGGTGGAGGCTGTGGCAGACAGCCCATTGGATTAACTAAACTGTTCATGCTAGCATTGAGTTCACAATATGATCCAGATGTATTTGAGGATGTATTGAAGGAATTGTTGAACATAAATGATGAGTTAAAAGAATTCTCTTTGTTACTCGACATATTGGAGACCGAAGTATTCATTATGTGGGAATTCTGCGAAGCAGTGGAGTAAATAGAGGAACTACTGCTGATATTGTTAAATGAATTCCCTCCAGTCGAATACGTTTTTGGGCAATAGGAGGCTGATGTTGTAGATGCCTTTGAGGTTTGCTGATAATATGAGGCGGGGTTGTGTGAACGATAATTGGAAGATGAATTATAGCTGCTATCCGAGGACATGGCTCGAGTTTTGGCCGGTGGTTCTTGATTGGGGTTAGATGTATTGCACCGACCATTGTTTTCGCCCAATGGTGGTCTTGTCGATGCACGTAAAGTTTTCTGTTTACTATAGGGCAACTTCAAGGAACCAAATAGATGCTTGTGATTAGCATAGGAGGTTAGACGCACTGAAAAAAAAAGAAATTAAAAGTATCTGCTCCGCTTTCGAAACCAAATCAAGTAACTTCTTACATTCAGTGTTGCCCACAAGACCCACTTCGGATCGTTCCAGAGTAACTCCTAAATTTATATAAAATATATCCGAATGTGTTGATATGACCGTGTATAAATTGGGGTATCCAAATTCGAAGGTGGTACTTATTGTACAATCCAAGGCATTTTTTATTTCCAGCAACAACATGGGAGCACGCTGTTCCAGCAGACGTATTATGTTCATAAGGAAATGCATCAGACCGGAGATTCTTACAAATGTACCACCATTCTCGACCACAATCTGTAAGCAGCGAAAAGGTTTCAGATATTTAATTTAATGTGCTATCACAGTTTTACCTCGATGGCATGCTTCATGGCCTTGACGGTAGCCTCTGTGATCGTTTCTTTATACTTTTCATTGAAATTCTTTATAAAATCATTCAATGTTAAAAGATTCTTGAAGATTTCATGATCTTTTGAATCTTTTTGCTCAATCATTTCGGCTTCATGTGACAGCAAGTATTTACTGGCTCTGTAGCAGAGTGTACGAAAAACATTATCGCCTTTGTGGCACATCATCCAAGTGGAGTCCTCCTTTTCGAACGTCTTAAAATTTGCAAAGAACAAAAGATGAAATGTATTTTTATGATGTGTAATTTGAATTATCCTACCTCCACGTATGGCAACAAATCCAAAGCCTGTTTCATATCTTTGACTCCCAACGTTTGGGCTTGTATTTGATAACCATATTTTTTCTTGTGGAGCTTAACAACATCTTCCCATTTCATGCATGTTTTACCAGAGCCTAAAACGAGGAAAACAATTGCTCAAACTGTCTTATAATTGAAAACTTTCGAAAAATGTGAATAAATTTCATTTAGATTTGAAGCATTTCAAAAACACATCGCAATTTTTTTTAATTACCTGTAGTTGCAGTTATAAGTTCTTCACATTGTTCTGCAAATATTCTACGAGCAACCTTTGAAGTGAGATAAATTTTCTTATCCTCGTCGTTGGTCAGCTCCATTTCGACAACTCCATGCACGGCCTCCATGAGGTCGGCTAATTTTTGAAATCCGTAATCACTCAATCGACATTGGTAGCCGAAATGGTAGTGGTAGGAACGAACAAATTTTTGGAATAGTATCGTATACTGGGGAGCATTACTGAAGAGTTCCACAATTTCGCCGGCAAAAATACAGGTCTTCTCCAGCTCATTTGTTGTTTGTTTACGTTTCGGTATGGATATTAATATATCTTTACCATTCTGCACCGTGGATACTACCACAATATTCGAGTTCACCAAACCATCTAAGATGTCGACTATGTCACAGACTCCATAGTCGGTGACATCGAATGTTCGATTTTGGGTTTGGGCAAATATGTTGGGCAATTGGGACAGCAAAACCGACTTGTTGCCATGGGCTCTCAAAACCCTTAGCAGGTCGGACGTGAAGCGACGTATTTGAGTACGATGTGTCAGTGTAATTTGTCGATTCTCCCCATCGCCCATTATTTGCACCACCGAAGACAAAGCCTCGAAAAGCTCAATCAATTTGGTGTAGCCATAATCCGCCACACGACATTGTTTGCCAAAATGATTATGATAGGCCGGTATGAAGCGGTTGAATTTCATGGTAGCCTTGGGTGACATTTTAACCAGCTCTATTACTTCGCGGGAAATTTGATATAACGGATCGGATATTGAGTTCTTCGAATACAAATTTGATCTTTCGCTATTCGAATTCAAAGCCTGGCCATTGTTATCTTTGTTCAGTTCGAGCCACCCTAGGATTTTTATACCGAAATTATTCACCGTTATTTGTATGCCTTGAACACAGCACACCAAATGTTCCAAGTTCACGCCGTTATCGTTGGGCGTGATTTGAATTTTCAATTGCCCCTCTATGCAATGCACCAAGGAGGCGACGGGTATATCGCCAGTGTGATTTTTCAAAAGTGGATGAATAATCTGCTGAATTTCAGAAATGGTCATGAAGACATTGGGCAAAGGTTCGATTTCTTGTTCGGCCCAGCCCTTATGTTGCTCTCTCTTGAAGTGTATTGTACAATAGGGCACACTGTGCTGTAAACCCTCCATGAGGGGAGAACTTTCCAGGGAATTGACTAGATCAGGGTGTAGACTAATGAATTTTTCCTCATTGTTGTCGGAGTTAATGATACAGATGTCTTGCATTTTATATAGATCCAAAACACTTATAGATGTTTTGAATCGTGACTGGAACAGTTCGCGGAACTTATACATGGGTAAAGTGTAGCAAGGAACATCCTGCGAAATAAAAAATTAAGCATGTTTACTTTTTTCTATCGCCACAGAAATTACCTTAAGTAGACCAGCTACTTGACATCTCAGCGTATTGATTTCAGTTAACGAGGAATCCCTGGTGTAAGACACCAACATTCGCTTGTGGCCAATTTTTTTACGATGTAAATTGGAGACAACCTGTTTGGCAAACTAAGAACAAATTTTCAATTGCATATGGTAGTTCTTTGGGCACAGTTTTGTTTACTTACATATAGATCTGGAACGGTGACCTTGGCGTACGAACTACCTTCGAATGTCAGCGATACCACCGGTGTTATCGGTTTTAACTGATTCAATAGGAAATTTCTTAGACTAACCTCATCCATGGAATAGTCCAAGTTTGTAATTTGCAAAGTGACAGTATCATTTGGGTCGCTGACAGTAGAAAATGATTGTCCCGAGCTGTATGGCGTAGAGACCATAACAGTGTTACCGGAAGTAGTGGTTCCACCACTTGAAGTTGCGGTGGCTGTAGCAAGAGACATAGAATTCTTACTATCCCCATTATTGGATACTGTTGCTGTTACTGTAGTGGATGGTGTTAGGGAAGCTGACACAGCATGAGCAAATGTAAATTCTTGACCCCCAGGATTGCAAATTGTCGATGTCATTGGGTGTGGATGCAGAGATGTATGTTGTTGCTGTTGCTGTACAGACACCGCAGTCAGTGGTGCAGCCGATGCAAAGGTCTGCATTATGCCGCCCGGAGTACATGTTGTCTGATACACTGGAGCTGCAAATTGATGATAGCCGGCATTTGAAATAGCCGAAGCTGATGTGAGCGGACCACAGGTTGTAATAGCTGTCGTTGAATGCATTGCATTGTGGTGTAAGGTGCTGGGCGTGGTGGAACGATTATAGGGCATATAACGATTTCTCTGGTAACCACCGTAGCTATTGATGTTGTTGTGATTGCCATATTGTCCCTGCGGCAGGGTCGATTGAAAGTGATGTGAGTTTGTGTCATTCGAGGGAACATGAGTAGACATCATTGTACCCCCACCACCGCCATGCATATAACTGCCAGCAGATGTGTATTTGGTCATCAGAGATGACGGTAGGACTTTGTTCGTGTAAATGTGTCCGGATTGGCTGTTTCCACTGCCAACTCCACATACGATGTTTTGCTTACCATTATTGCTTCCAATGTTGTAATAACGGCTGGTTGAACGATTGTTATTCATGTCGACGACCGCCATACCACCGGAGTTGGATGTAGCCACTGTGGTATAAAATGCAGCCGTATTTGTCAGATAGTCGTAATCATTGTTCATCTGAGTTGTCATGCCGGCCAAACTATTGATGTGTGGTGCAGGAGCAGGCGCCGGCGCCTGCATTACATTGTAGTTCATATACACCTTAGAGGATTCATCAGGATGTATGTTGCTTCAAAAGAAAAGTAACGTATTTCAATTCGTTTGTTGTATTATTTTTCTTTCATTTCAATTGACAAACCTGTAGTAACGTTCTGCCATTATTATTTCTAAAGAAAAATTGTGATTCCTATTTCATCAAAATTAAGTTTTTACAATTTTGAATTTGAACAATTTGATTGATTGGCCGATTGTTGTCTGTCCAGGAATAGAGGCAATTTTGAAGATAAGGTTAATTATAATCATTCGAATCCGCCAATTTGTATCGCTTGACAAATGTTGGTGGCGTCTTATGTAACTGTAAAAAATGTGAACACTTACGCTTTCTACTTGAGATGATGCGAATAGCTCACAAAACGAAAGGCGCCAAAAGTTAAAAAGAGCGCTTTCGGCCGCTTTGCTGTAAATGTTATAATTTGGTCTAGAATATTGATAATATTCCTTTCTTGTTGTAATTATTGTAAAGAGTCAATGTAGGGTCGTTTATAAAAGGTATATTATTTATTACAAAATAATCACTTGTTGTTGGTATTAATAAAAAATATTTGGTTTTCCTTATGGTTTATACTTCATTAAAATCGGCGTTAATGAATTAATTGATGATTTTATTGATTTATTTCCATATAACTTTCCGTAATAATTGAATTCTTGTTTCGATCGACTTAATTTTCAATAAATTAATACTTTAAATATCACTAAGTTAATTGTATAAATTTAAATTTTTGTAGATTTTTTAAAACACAGCACTAGACATTTATGTATGATGTAATTATTTCTATTGCAATTTTTCGGTTTTGCCACTTCCCAAGCCCTTGCAGTACTGTCAGTGTGACTCTTTGAGAATAACATGCATAGAGGAGTTTTTTTTATTTCACTTGATTTCAGATTGAACGAAGCACCAAATAAGAGAGTGAGATAATCCATGTTCCGTTATCACAATTAATTGCTCTTAATTTGGATTTTCCTGAAATCATGATACACAGAGACAAATGATAGTAAATCACTATTTGTTTCGAAAATGTTTGGTGATTTCGACCAATAAAAAGTTTTTTTTTTATTTTAATACATGCATGGTACAGGAACGTTAAATATTATTCTCATTTCATTTTATGAACCTTTATATTTCTTTTGAGTCTATCGCATTAGAAACTGTCTTATTTAATTTTTTTTAATTGTTATCCCACTCATATTATCAAACAAATATTAAAATCCCATTACAATGGTTTAAATTAATATAACAGATAGCTATGGGGTATTTTTAAGTTTTCAATATTTTCATGTATTCATATGATTGGGCCGCTCATTATTTTTAATAATTCATTTAACTTTTTATTAATATTTATAAATTATTCCTACTTTTATGATATTTTATCTGACATTACATGTCTGGCTTTCTTAGTATTGAAAAAAAAAAATAATTAAATATTTTAAAAATTCTATTCTTCTATATAAATAAAGTGAAATTATATAATATTATTACAATTCTGTGGCATATTTTATGAAATTAAGTTTTCTTGGAAACTATTGGACAGCTTTTCAATTTACATATATTTTAAAAATTGCAATCTGATTTTAAACAATGATATCCAGCTCTACGTTTTTCTGTAATCTGCCTCGTAAAAATTAATCTTCATTGAAAACAGGTTCCCACATCTTTATGCAATGGAATTGTAATTAAACTTTTTGACAACAAGATGCTATCAAATGTATAATTTGGAAAAATTGCAAACATATGATTTTACGAGGTCATGCTTTTAGTTGAAAGCTAAAAAAGCCTTACCTAATGATTTTTTGAAACTACAAATTGGTGTGAATCCAAACATTATTGCTCTGTTCCAGAACTGGCATATTACAACGTAAAGTAAAATGAAAAAGAGTTTTAACTGTAATGCTGTTTAAGGCAGGCAAAGAAATTAAAATCTTATCGTTATATTCTACTAAATTTATATAATTATATACGAGCCATTAGCGAGGTTAATACTATATAATTTAACATACTATATAATTTTTTGTTAATTGAAAATATTTAGGTTTATAAGATAAAAAGTGAAAAATATTGGATACTACACTTTTCCAGATATATTTGGAAGCATTTAGTTGAACTCGTATCATTTCACATGTGCTTTTAAACATCCAAAAGTTATTCGAAAAAATATTTTCTTTATAAGTTTGTTAAATTTCATTATGCAATTCGAATTAACTTATTTTAAATTTGAAAAACTCACTGCAAAAAAAGTTAATTTTTCGAATTTTTTAATTTTGGATTCCAAATGGCATGATTAGTAGTAGAAATGGAATAATCATTAACTCAAACGAAGTAATTTGAATTAAAACTTTAATAAAAAGTGTATTTTAAATAGAAAAATGCAAATTACAAATGAAATAATTCGGATTTCAAATCGAATTCTCCAATTACAAATGAAATACTATGAGTAACATCTGCAAAAGGGGCATTAAAAATATATGTATACTCATTGCACCATATGAAAAACTCTTCACCATTGTTATCTTCTAAATATTTAAAACTAACCCATGCGATTTTTTGTAATTTTTTAAAAACAAAATAAAATATTTTTTCTAAAAGCTAAATTTTAACTTGATTTTAATTTGATTTGATGATTGAAACGCAAACAAACCTCGTATGCCAAATTTTTATGAAAACGGTGTTTGCTTGCGTCCCTGGCAATGTCTTTTTTATAAAGAAAAACAGATTCCATCTCGGGATAGAAATGGAAAAGCATGTAAGTACAAATAAAAAATCATTTATATAAAGGATGAACACGCATTTATTACATTTCATAATGAATGCTTTCTTCAAGGCATACTTTAGGGAGCTTAAATAAAATCATTTAATATGGAGAATCCTGTGGGAAATTATTTAAATTATAGCACCTGAAAATATGCTTTAAAATTTGTATTCTAATACACATTTTGCAGGGTGACATAGAATATGAATTTACAGGGTGACACAAACTCATTGGAAGCAAGGGCTTGCTTGCGATTCTGGTCGCCTGGTGTTTTCGATTTTGGCACATTTAGCGAGGAAAAATGAAATTGAACTATGACGAGCATGAAAGGACTTGCCCGGTCCCTTCTTATTTTAACCTACATTGAATTTGCACCCAAAATTTACAACACATATGGTGTTTTAATTAAATGGAAAATATATAAAATAAGTTTTTTTGACAGTTTTTTATTATATCATTTATTTACTTAAAAAAGTGTAAACATAATATATACAACAAATTGTATATAATAGTGAAGCATGAAGCATTTATCTGTTGGACTTGGCGACACGTTCCAATTCATCCTTCTTCTTGATGGCATAGGAGTTTGAGGAACCCTAAAAGAAACAATAAAATCAGTTATTAGAAATATTCAGTTTGATATAAAGATATTATTAACAATGAATTAAAAAACTAGTTTGTAGTTCTACGTTTCTCGAGCACACTAATTTTTTAAATTACATTAGGTGCTAGGATAATAGAACCAAATTTTATATCGTCCACAAGCGAGGCCTTGTTATTCGGCTTTGTTACATAACATGGCATTAGAGTGGACATAATAGAACCGGGGTTTTTAGGTCAAGTAGTAGTCAGTGTTATTCTAATTGATATTTTCGACACGAAAATTTTCATTATTTCCAGTATTGTTTCGATCAGTAACATTATATTGTTCATTATTAAAAAAAATTATAGATCTACGTTTCTCGAGCACACAAATTTTATCAATCACATCAGGTGCTAGGATAATAGAACCATTATATTTTATAGTCCACAAGCGAGGCCTTGTTAATCGGCTATGAGACATAACATGGCATTAGAGAGGACAACCAAAGTACATTTTCTTGTTGAGTATGGATATTTAAAAGCTTGTAGTTTTACGTTTCTCGAGCTATATAAAATAAAAGTTACTTCAAAAGCTAGGATAATAAAACAAGCATTTATATCGTCCACAAGCGAGGCTTTGTTAATCGATTCAAGACATAACAAAGCATTAGAGAGGACATAGAAACGTCCAGAATCTTAACCATGAAATATAATTTATATTTGTAGTTTTACGTTTCTCGAGCCGAATGAAATGCGAGTTACTTCATAGACTAGGATAATAAAACAATATTGATATTGTCCACAAGCGAGGCTATGTTAATTGGTTGTATGCCATAGCATAGCATTAGAGAGGACACTTAAATTACTGGAGTTAAATTCTGGCATTCGATATCTCAGAAATTTCGATCAAATGTTGCTTAACGTTTCTCGAGCTTAATGAAATGCATCGCTACTTCAAAAGCTAGGATAATTAAACCATTTATATAGTCCACAAGCGAGACTATATATATCAAATAGGGATATAATATAGTATTAGAGAGGACAATTTTATAAAACATATTAACAACAAACTATGTATAAATAAATAATTACCTTAGCAGCGTTGATAAGTTCATCAGCCAAACATTCGGCAATGGTCTTAATGTTTCTGAAAGCGGCTTCACGGGCACCAGTGCACAAAAGCCAGATAGCCTAAAAAAAGATAACAATTGTTTAGCATCGGTTGCATATATTTTCATCAAAGATTAAGTTTTCTCATAGAATATTATGTATCTTAGTTTCATACATTATGAGCCTTAAAATGCGGCTTCATAACGCTACGGACAAAAGACAATTTATTGGGTTAGTTTTATTTCTATAGCCCTGTGTTATAGTCTCTTAAGTCAAATGGGAAACTTTAAAAGATATTGTGCAAGGCATCTAATAAATCTTAGTATATTTCGCATGACTTACTTGGTTGACACGACGGAGTGGTGACACATCGACGGCTTGACGACGGACAGTACCAGCGCGACCGATACGGGTAGAATCTTCACGAGGGCCAGAGTTGATGATAGCGCTGACGAGGATCTGAAGTGAAATTTTAATCGTTAGATGGAATTCATCCCAAGTAGGTGAAGTTTAATATTGTTTTCATCTAACCATTTGCTAAGTCTTACTTCAAATTAGCCTCATGGTTAAATGATGTTTATCTATGTCCCATTCTACCCGCTATAAGATGGCTTAGACTTTTCTTTATAACAGTTTAGCAGAGGACATGTAAAAAAAATTATGTATATTCTTGAATATATACCTGCAAAGGATTTTCACCAGTCAACAAATGAATGATTTCGAAGGAGTGCTTGACAATGCGGCAGGCCATGAGCTTCTTGCCGTTGTTGCGGCCCTTCATCATCAAGGAGCAGGTCAAACGTTCAACAATGGGGCATTGGGCCTTGCGGAAACGTTTGGCGGCATAACGACCAGCAGAGTGGGGCAAATAGCGAGCGAACTTTTCCTTAACGGAAATGTAATCTTGCAAAGAGATGTCATTGACGGTAACGTCATCGCAAGACCAGCGGCCGAACAATTTGATTTCGGGCAATTCAGTGGTAGAAACAACGTTGGTTTCCAACAAAGTTTCAGCACCCTCGGTTTCAATTGGAGGTTGCTCCTCAAAAGTCTCAGTAACGTTCTCAGCAACTTCAGCCATTCTGAAATAAAATATATCGATTAATATTCGGCATTTATCAAGTTATTAACTAACATCAATAAAGCTCGTCAAAAATGTTGGTTTTCACTTTATTAAGGTTTATATCTTTGAGACGATATCCTTAAGAGGAATAGTCAACCATGAAATTTATTATAGTCCAGTTGAATACCAAAAAGTCTGCAGAAAACAACAAAATGGTTTTAGTTTTGGACAACAGCGAATCCGAGCTTGTAATTTTGGATAAAACATAATTTTTAAATTTATCACATTTTGATTATGATCTTGTTGTTCACATATCTATGTCATTTAGGTTAAAGTTTGTTTATAGGTGCTGTTGATTTTCACTTTATTAAGGTTTATATCTTTGAGCCGATATCCTTAAGAGGAATAGTCAATCATGGAGTTTTTTGTAGTCCAATCGAATACCAAGGAATTCACTAGGAAGAACTCAATGGTTTTAGTTATGGACGAAATACTATTTTTTAAAATCTAATTAAATTTGAGTTTATACATGCACACGTGTGGCTCTGTTCGAAAGCCATGCCCAATCAGCCGAATTCACACATTTTTTTTCTCTTTTGACAGACACAATCATCCATAACCTCAACACACTACACCGTGGTTTGGTTTTATTCCTTTTCACCGTATACGACGATGGATATGATCATAATTTGATAACATGGCACACTAAGGAGCTTTGCTTGATGTTTATTCATAGTTTGTAATGTTTTTTGTTCAATAATTCAATAAATAATCTTACTTTTTCACTAAGAAAAATTATCCCCGATGCAAACAGCAGTGGCGTTCGCCAGAAAAAGAACATGTTGTTGCAGTGCTGCCAAATTTTTGAACGCTGTTTCCGGCTGTCATTCAGATTTGTAGAGATAATTGGAGAAAAACGGCTAAGGAGTGTGTTTGGAAAAAGGTGGCAATACTATAAATGTTAGAGTAGTGTACAAATAATGAATCAGGTTGGTAATCATAATTTTTTAGTAAAACAACCATTTAATTTTCCAGTCAGTTAAATATATTTACATTTATGTTTCAAGCGAATGTATGTTGTTTACAGTATTCACTAACTTTTATGTCAATCTTTATCATAAAAATAAATGTTTGGAAGTATTACTATTGTTCTGTTCCTGAATCACCAAAAATATATTTCTACTTGCTACTTTTACCATATTTTTTTCGTATGGGAGCAGATATGATATGCAAAAAAAAAGGTTTTGTGTTCTTCTACTAGACTGCTTCTTGTATTAGGATTAATGGTACATACCGGATTCAAAGTTTTAAGTTAAATTCGTTAGAAATAGGCTACCCTTTATCTTGAAAATTGATCCATGGACATTTCAAATAAAAGTATTTTTATTTTATGTTGTCATAGAACGTGAATCCAGCCCAGTCCCTGATTATACACCACAACAGGGTTTTATTATTTTTTGTCCAAGATATGCATGGCTCAATAAGAAAGGTTGTTCAACTTCTAAGCAACTAGGAGTCTTATCGTGTCAAAATAACATTCAACAGTTGGTTTTGTTTATATTACATTTTTTTTTTTCGTAAAATTCTTATATTGGGGGAAAAACTACAAAACATGAATGAAATGTTGGGGTTGTTCCACAAAAAAGGTTTTTTCACCTTTTATATTCGAAAAAAGTGTTTCAATAGATGTCGTTCATGGTGTGAGAAAGCTGATATATAAAAATATATAGTCGAGTGAATTTACTAGCCCTGGGTGACTTTACTGTCCCAATGATCCACCATGGTGATTTCTGCCGGAAGGGGTAAACTTTAAAACTTTTTAATCTATACCTTTATTTGTCTACAATAAAATTACGCTCCTCAGAGAGTAGGTAAACGAAAAACTTGTATAAAAGTCGAAAATAGATGGCCGTCCTTCAATATCATCATTTTAGCCACCATTAGTACGATTCTCTAACTTTTTTCTATAACGTACAGAAATTGGTAACTTTCAACAGCAATATTCTGATGTAAAAAAGTTAACAACATTACTTCTATCAATAGGAGTTTAGCGATTTCATTATTTTCGTCGCAACATTACGACGAAATTCGTTAATTACCGACGTTATAGGCTACTTGCCTATAATTGCTGTTATGGATAACTAGTTAGAGAATTGCTTAACAGAGCTACGAAACATGCTACTATTTTTTACTCCGCCAATCGTTAAATAGAAGATTTTGGAGGAGAACAGCATTTGCCATCAATTTTACTTGTTATATATTAAATTAGCATACAATGGGTCTTTACATAAAACCAGCAAAAAGAGAAAAAAATAAACACGGTGCGTCAGACATTTTACCGCACGGTACGGCAACCCTTCAAGATTTTAATAACTGCTCTGCCATAAAAACAACACGATTAATGTCGATGTTACATTCGTGGAGACTCTAATGAAAAGAATGCTGCCAAGTTATTAAAGCAGTACGTCTTAAATTTAAGCGTATGACATCAGATGTAACGAAATGCCAAATGACACACATGGTCGATACAATTACATTTGAATGATTTCAAAGAGGGTTATACGATTATATTTATATATCATTCACATGGAATTCGTTCTTTTTCGATTCGAACCATATGGTACTTAGTAAATCATAATCATAAATGCTGTTTTAAATATAAAACCGTTGCATTGTTTTTTCTTGCACTACCTTAAGGTTGAAGTTGCATTCTGCAGAACACTCGCATATTTCGTTCGTGAAAACCATTTTAAATTTATTTCCTTTAAATGTGTTATCTGTGATGAAAAGCAAAGACAGCATTTAAAGCATGACGATAAATAAATTCATTAAAATATTTAATTTAATAACCAAATATTTTTATGTATTTTTTAAGGAAGTATATTCCCCAATATTACATTGCAAAATAGCAACATCGATAAAGTCACGCTATATTTTCAAGCAAATATGCATTGTCATTTTTAAGATTCTAAGCATTTAACCGACACTAAATATTAGTGGTAGCAATTAATGGAATAAAAGGTCTCCACAAAATATTTACAAAGTGTTATTATAAATGGTTTGTAGTGTGCAATTTAGAAATGGCTTAGTATTAGTTTTTCTAACCTTAAAATGTTTATAATAATTTGTTACCAATTTAATTCATTTCATGTGATTTCACTTTAATTGATTTTCGAAAGCCCTTAATAACAAAAACATGAATTCATACTTTTTCGTAGGTAGTTTTTTTTTGCTGTTGCTGTTGTTCTTTCAGTAATTTGAGAAGAAATGTAGGAGTAATTTGGATTTCCTTTCCATTTGCCAAGATAATTGCTTATATTACAACCTTAATATTATTTAATTGTAGGTCTCACGATTGCATTGTAGTAATCACTAGGCTATTAAAGCATTTCTACGAATTGGTAAATATTATTAAAAAATTACAAAAATTGTTGTTTTCTGAAAAGATAAAGTTCCTGATGTTTAGTTTTATCTGTATTTCGTCGCCATTGCACTGTGTTTAATTTGAAACACTATAATTGCATGGAATCACTTTCGATGTAGACACCATACGAATACCACGACTAACGTTGGTTTCATACAGTAGTCGAAATGCCGATTTGTTTTTGTTTACTTCGTACTAAGAAATTAACAATGAATATTGACGTTAGATTAATATTTTTTTGCTTAAAATTTACTAAAATGTACTTTAAATTTTGTGTGAAGAAAAAATGTACGCTTTGGAACACTTAAAAATCCAGTACTTTTCCAGGATAACATTGGGTGTGTCTGTTTACAATGAAAGTTGTAACAATTGTTGCTGAAAATCATCTGTAAAAACAAAAGCTCTGCAAAAGAGAGCGGAGAGAGTTTGCAAGTTCTTGCTGGACAAGTTTCTTCTTGCAATCACTTGCAACTCTTCTACTTCTTCTTGTCCTTTCTGTGATTTCAATTTCAGCAAGCAATTTTAAACCCCTGTATTTTGGAAGTCGTGAGCCTAATTGGATAGTTTTTTTTTTTTATTTTTATTTGTGAGTGTTTTATTTCTTTTTAAGGCGGATAATTTCTTCAACAAATAAGCTTATTGTTTGCAGGTTTTTGCAGCGATTACGTTCTTTTACTTTTCACTGATTTTTTGCAAAAGAGAATAAAACTACCTTACTCTCAAAGGGAGAAGCTGCTGACCAATTCTTGCTAGAAAAGTAACCAGACAAAAAACCCATCCATATCTTTGTCGGGCACTATAATAAATGGTAGAATTAAAAAGGTAAAGTCATTTCAAATCACCATCTCTATATTTTATGTAATTTATCTGGTCACTGCTTAGAAAACTGGTTCCCATCTCTGATTTGTGCATGTACAATGAATTGATAGACACATTTTGACAATGAGATGTTGCCAAATTAATAATTTAGAAAAAAATGGTAAACATATGATTGCATGACTTTACCTTCCTAATTCTACATAAATAAACCATTTGCAACGTTATTCAAGCCACACATATTAAATGGGTTATATTATCATACGACCAGCATTTCTAAGAAAGAAAGGCAGAAAATAGCGTCTATATGCCTCTATGTTCTTATACCCTCAGCCATATGGCTACAGAGGGTATATATAATTTGATACGGCAAAACGTGTTTCATCGAAATAACGGTTTTAGACCCTAGTCTCTTTGGACCAAATTCGTTGCAGGACATTTGGAGTCGATCTAGCGATGTCCTTTCGTCCGTCTGTCTGCCTGCCTGGCTGGGGCGCACGATAACTCTCGAAGGGAGTATCCAAACTTGGTACAAGGTAATATTACTGTCAAACTTAGATCGAGTTCGGAGGTGCGCAATATCGGTCCACTCCTTCTGATAGCTATCCCACAAAATGTCAAAATTTTTACAGAAAATTATTTACTGCACAAAAAGCGAAATGATAATCCGACATTGCTCCAACTTTGCAAATCCAAACTTGGTACATCGTAATAGTATTGTCAAACTTAGATCGAGTTCGGAGATAGGCAATATCGGTCCATTCCTTCTGGTACCTCCCCACAGAATGTCAAAATTTTCAAAGAAAATAATTTACTGCACAAAAAGCGAAATGATAATCCGATATTGCTCAAACTTTGCAAATCCTAATATTTGCATCAGTGCTAGGGCGTGTGCGAAAACGGACAATATCCATCTAGTGCCTCCCCCACAAAGGGTCAAATTTTTGAATAATTATAACTCTTATAAAATGCGATTTGAGGGTCCGATTGTCTTCAACTTACACACATCACAATATATTTATTAAACCAAGGTCTGGTGTGAAGATGGAATATATCGATCCACTCCTTCTGGTACTCCACAAAGGGTCAACTTTGAAATTAACGGGAAATTAACATTCGATTCCATTAAAACTTGACACATCTAAATATTTAAATCAACACAAGTTCTCTTATAAAGATAATAGAGATAGGACCATTCCTTCTGCTACCTCATCCACAAAGGGTGAAAGTTTTAAATAACTAAAACGATCATAAAT